ACGCCTCAACATAGTTATGTATGGAACAGTAGAAAAATACTAATGCTTATCCAGCCTTTAATAATTTTCCATTCAGTGAACACGATTTGCACCATTCTAACAGCGTTGTAGCATTTAAAGTGACATGTAAATGCCACTTGTCTTTCATATCCACATTGAAAATACAAACTGTGCTTCTCAGGAAATTTTTCAATTCATAAAACAAATTAAAACAATTACTCATTACTGTTATCAACGAGGGTAAACATAACAGTATCACAAAAGATATGATACACTTATCATTGACGGAAAATGAATGTATAGAAATGATCAGAAAGATAACGAGTGACGTTAACGAACACTATCAATTGTAAACAAGTTAAATATGCTGACTGCCAAATGAAATTGTTTATTACTTCCGATATAATTGTGAACAAAATTTTCATTTATCTCATTATAACCGAGTACTAACGCTTTGATCAATTACTTCCATTCTAATGATACACAGCTTCCCTTATCGGTTTCACGTGATAGAAAAAAGACTCGTTACGACAGTTCGTATTAATACATGTGTATCGGAATATTACGTAAGGCTCTGATAAGTAGAATAGGAAGTCTCAAGTCTCAATGCACTTGCCTTTATTACTTTCAACACCAGCCATACATAATTTCATTAGTCACTCTTTATTTCCATTCGTTTTAACAATTATTTCCTTACTTCCTTTTATTTAGGACAGTAAGAAAAAAATATAGATAATGTACAAACTTCTGATATGAATAAGGAGAAAACTCATTTTTAAATAGAAATAAGAAATCCAATATTGTGCATTAATTAACTGCAATTGTTTTCTTTATCTATACTGAATAAAATGAAACGTATCACTGACACGCAATACGTTCTCGAGTTTAATTACTCAATTAAACCAAGCTACGCATTACTACAAGCGTGATAATTTTATCGATTGTAATATACTGTTGCGGTGTTACTAAACACCTATATCTATCCGTTCCTACGTATCGGGACTCTCATATAGGCGCCGTGTTTTAACTTCAATTCATTTGCCAATGAACACTCCCATTAAGGATGTATTGGCTATACAGTCAATCCCAAAAGTTTATGCACTTTAGAAACGCATTTTTTATAAAGAAATCAGACGTCGGAAGAACATTGCTAATAATAAACAACAACAAAAAATTTTCGATTTTTCCGAGATTTTTCCAAGGGGTACCCCTTCAGATTTTGCGAAATTTTCGTTTTTGGCCAATAACTCCCAAACTGTTGGACATACGGAAAAATTGCATATGACCTTTCTTGTAGAGGACGACGAGATCTACAATTTTCATGTAAAAATTTTAGCACGTAGCTATTTATTATTAGCATTATTCTTCCGATGTCTGATTTCTTTTTAATTATAGGAAATGCGTTTTTCTAAGGTACATAAACTTTTGGGATTCACTGTATAGCCAATACATCCTTAATTTCACAGTCTGTTTCCAGACTGAATCATTACATATCCAAGAATCAAGCGTAATTAAACAAGGCATAAAGTATAGAGGCATGTGCCGTAAACATCCTGATTCAAACAAAATCAGTTTTTGAAAAGATATTAAAAAATAAACAGCTGTCTTTCACCTCGTAGCATGCGTGTATATTAAAATTTTATTAGCTGTGTTCGTCAAAGATGTTTCATGGCTACGATAACATTCTGTGAGAATTTTCCGAATATTCTTCCTAATCTCAGCGATAGGGTAATCTCGTTAACATTATATCCAACACCGCTTCTCAAAGGGGAGATACAGAAGTTAAGCTCTTTGATCTTTATAAAAGGTTTTGTATTCATATGTCCGAGAATACATTAACAAATTGAAAATGTAATTCATAGATATATGAATAACGTGAGTCTTGGATTACTAGTCAAAAAGATAATTAGAATGATATAGATTAAAGAGTTATGTTATTACTAATTACAGTATTAAAAATAAGATTTATGATACTGGGCTTTATTCGAAAGTGAAGGAATCGTGCGTAAAAGACTGTGAAATTGTGAACAGCAGGAAAATTTATGTTTTTCTATGTAGAAGACGCGCGCGTAAGTGCTTATAGGCTTAGGAAATCGCCATACCAGCAGGAGAATTCATTCGAGGAGACAGGGTTTAAGATATAGCGACATGTTTACAAGCGGGTTCAACGCTCGCTGTGCTTTGAATGCGGTATCGTGCGTTACCAATTCCTAGGGAAGACAGTAGCAACGTACACGAACTATGATACGTCTGTTCGCTTAAGTCAAGTAGCTTGTGCTATAATACAAGCCATTATGAAACATATGTATGCAACATACACGCGTGTAACAAAACCATTATTAGGAAATATGATGAAATAGAATGTAGAGTAAACAAGAGGCGATAGATTTTATATGCATTTATAGCAACAATATGTAAAAAACATAAAAGACATATAATGGACAAAAATGTATAAAATATCAACAGTATGCTATATAGTATGATTGTTTAAAGGGTTGAAGGATATTCTTACTAAATATATTTTCCTAAGTTGATACCTTGCAAATTTTATTTTGCATAAAAATTAACAGTCTTGTAAGACTGTTGATTGCAAAAGAAAATATTGGAATAACTGCAAAATGCCAAAACAAAGCTAATTGGACCCTGATATTCTTTTTTATTGTAAACTATTCTTGCTACGTACTCATCCTCCCCCATTAACGAACCATTATTCGTGATATATCGATAGCCAGCAAGTACTGCTATTACCGTCGTTTTATACACCTGCAAGTTCATCAAAGAAAATGACACCTCGGGTTTCAAATTCCTCGTGAAATTCGAGCAAGCAAAATGGCGATCGCCGTTGAACTTGTTCAGTTGACGAACTTCAAAATGATATGAAAGACAGAGAACCACTGCGGGCAGACAGTTGCTAGGTGTGTTACTATTCTCGGTCGGCGGCATTCCGATAAGCTGTGTGCCAAATCTCACGTCAGCCTAACGCTGCTGGACGAACGACAGACAAATCCGAGGGCGAAACGCCCCGAGCTTCCCAGAGCATTTTTACCCTGTGCCTGTTTTCACGAGGCTGTTTATCTATGCCAGGAAGCCATTATGCGGTCGCAGTGGTCATTTATCATAGACACACTTGGGATCGTTACCCGCTGTACTCGTTCAAGCAATCAATTAGCCAGTTTCTGTCTTACTTTTTTAATGAAGCTACATATTAAGTGAAAAATAAAAAAAGGAACGCAAACTCTCTTCGTGACTGTAAACATATACTTGACTTGAACCCTGATAAAGCGTCAGTTGATAATCAATTTACCGTTATTGATCATTCTCGCGTAAGTACGAGTGTGTCGATAAGGAATTTTTATTAATTTCTATTTATATTATTACGTATATACAAACATGCGTGTACGTGTAGTTTGTATAAATATTATATCAGTTTGTCGAAATTAAATTTCTAGCATTTACTTTCCTTATCATTCTATTCTAAAAGATTTTCCGTATTTCTAAAAATATTCAACTTGGACTTCAAGACACGTATTTTAATTCTTTAAAGAATTTTGTTCTGCCTTTTGTAGTGAAGAAATTCACTGACCTTTGAAACCAATTAGCATTGAAATAAGAAATTTTCAAATTCAAAACGGTCACTGTATGTTAATTTGTTTAATGTCAATGTCCTCTTTTGTCGTTCCATTTCAAGTATTTATTTTCTGAACAAAAAGATGAACGTAATTAACGGGAAGAGAAAAGGGACGAAGTTCGGAATTACTTATTGCCCCTCTGCCCGTATTTATTTATGTAATCGGTCAGGTTGACAGCGCAGAAACATGCGTGCATCTCGCATTGATGCGTTCCGTCCACCTGGTACGACGTCGCTTTCAGGAGCCGAAGGTTCGACGACCTTAACGACTCGGCGAGGTTCTCGCGCTCACAGGAAGCTACTTTTGTCGATCTCTTTTCATCCACCTACCTCTACCACCCATAGCGATTGTTTGCCGCTTGTTCGCTTTGCGACTTACGTAAAAGATTCAGTTCGATATTTTTAGATTTTACGGACGTATCTGTTCCACAACAATATCCCTCAAACGTGGACTACAAAACAAATCAGATGAATGGAACTCGAAATGAGATTTTCTGTCACCGTGAATTTTTTCAATCTTGCACTCGTCGATTTCGTAATCCTTTGTACGTTATAATTTTTTATTACGACATCCAAAGTTTACTAATCCCCTATTACACGGATGTGGAACCTTTTTTATATGGAAAGCAATATTGCTTCCTCCACTTTTATGAAATGTAAAATCCAAATACATGAACAGTTTGACCTCCTCTAATTCTTTATCCCTTCAATACCATTGCCTATTCTTCTTCCTTCCTCTCCTCAATTTCATTCGCTTTCCTCGTATCACGTTACTTTTGTTTTTTCTACACTCAAGGTCAACAGTCTTTCTTTTAGGTATCTTATAATTCTTTTTCATTTTCTTCAATATTCTAATGCCTCCAACTTTTACTGTTCCTATATCTATTTTTTTTAAATGCTCTTCTACATTCGATACATGTTACCAAAAAAAATATACATTATTTAATTTATTGATGCACTATTAAGAAATAGTAGTTGGAATGTGCAAACGATTTAAAGCCGAATCATTTCTATTTAAGAGACACCAACTAGTACACAGTTTCACGATAACTTATAAACGTGATATCAGTTATGTTATGTAACGAAATGTTAGCAAGAACACGCAGAATATCATTCTTAATCAAAATGATGTAAGACCTGTATCCTCTTAGGTCTGGTAACGATACACGTCAAGACGGTTCATTATTATAAGTATCGATCTTTTAAACGAAGAATGCTTGTCATGCGCCCTAGAGAGAGAGTCACGACCTAAATAATCGTACACGCAATACACAAGAACATAAACAAAGCTATATAAGACACTGTCAATCAATATCAGCATTGCAGAAACTCGCAATCATCGTAAACTGTACGCTGTTTCTCCTTTTTGTAGATCACACCTTGTAACACGCCGGCCACACCACCGAACTTCCCTGACGCGCTTCTGGCGTTCTCCAAAATGTCTGCAGGGGACAAAACTCCCTCAGGTAAGTTTTGTTTTCTTGTAAAATTGAAGAAGTTTACCGAGAACTTAACGTCACATCGATTTATAATTGTAAGTCGTTGTCCATGTAATTCCGTCAAGTATTATTGAAGCATAGGTTTATACCAGTTGAACAATACGAAGAATTTTCTCATTTAAAGTATACATGTACTAATTTTAATTATATTGAAAGAATATGTAAGTTAATGTCAATAAATAGATTACGTTCTACATTTATTATTTATTTTTAGAAATGTTGAATTCTCTTGATGGTACTCTGAATATGAAAAATGATAATTGTAAGATGGAAATCAGAATACTATAATTCAGAATAGTCGACGATAGAGAATAAACGACTCTCTAAAGTATTTGTTTATTAAATATTATTTGTCGATTATTTTTATGTTATTAGCATTTTTCGATGAAAGATTTTAGTTCCATTCTATTAGGAACTATTATAATTTACCTTGCGCATACGTAATCAATTCACGCAAATGTTAAGGAAATATTTTTGCATGATTAGCTTTTATGTCACCTACGAGTTTAGATGAATCATCATGATTACTGTTTATACGAGCCTTATTTTTTTATTTAGAATCTCTTTTCTTAAATATATAAATTATCGTTTATCAAAACAGATAACTAGATCAATATTCAATACCTACTACTCAGAAGAATTGATATGCAGGAATTACTTCTATAGAAATAAAAATTGGGGATGCATCCTGTAATAAAAATATCTAGAATACGCATTAAGGATTAAGATACAGTAGTAAATAAAAAAGAACTTAGAAAAAATTTAAGTAAAAATATGAAGTATCGATACTCGGATAAAAATATCAAGCAACTATCTAACACTTACATCTTTGATACTGTTTGATACGGTATCATAATTAGCAGATCGGTATTGATAAAATTCTTCGGGTCCCGTTGCAGGTATGTCTCCAAGTCAAAACGGATTGCATCAGAACTCAATGCAGATGGGGATGGGGACACAGGCTCAGCACCACGGCGGCCGATGTAGCGTAACCGGGAACGCACAACAGCAAACGCAAAGTCAACAATTCGGCCTGGGCGAGCCGCAGAGATAAAAGAAACTTACGATCTGGCGCGGCCCGTGCGCAAGATCCCGAGGTCGCACGATGTGCACGTAAAAAAAGGAACGATGTTTTTTAAAAGCAAGAGGCAACGTTGGTTTACGAAAGATCGGAACTGCCGGGGGCTCTCCTACAGGGTTAATATAGCGACGCGGTGCGCGTGTGAGTCGAAAATTCGTTAGATTTCACCGCTCCCACATCCCTTCCTCCTCCCCCCCTCGAAGCAGGACGGTTGATTTATGGAAAGCAAAACGTGCGGAGATCAGAAAGGAAATATCAGATTGATTAATTTAGGCGTGCACGTCGCTAGAAAAAGCGAAATCTCTCTGATAAAAAAGAGATACGATCGTTTACCTCTCGCCTCACGTACCGATCCGCGAAATAATGTGGATCTCTAGAGTAGCCGATACGACTCTCGATTGTTTATTCTCGTTATTCTTTGATAATGTACGGTATACACGTTGAATAAAACAAAATCTTCTTCCGTCGGATTAGTCTGGTGAGCGTGACGCGAGGAAGAAATAGAAACAATGAGAGAACGGAGATCGCAAAGACTATTTTTTATTTCTTTTTCTCTGTTTCTTCTCTTTAAATGTGCTGCTGGGGCGGTAGTTCCTATGATTATGAAAGACAGCGATACTCTCCTTAATAGAAATTAGTATGCGTCCAGGAATGCCGCTTGATGTAAACGAGTAGCGAGAAGCCTCCTCCACCGTCCCGGGTATCTTCCTTGTCGTTTCTCGATCTACACACAGATTTTGCGGCTAGTATAGGAAATACTAGCCGTTTACTCTCGTTTGTGGTCCCATGGATTGCGGAAGTCAAAACGAGAAATCGATTAAACTACTTCCATGCCATCATAGTACAAAAAATTGCCGGCACTGGATAAGCGCTTAGCGATTGAATGTTTTTTTTCTTTTAATTTTTTTATAATTTTATTTTCGTTTCGCAGTAGAGAGATATTGCGAATGTGATCCGATTTTGAAGCAAGTTGAACGTTAATCGTACTAGTATTTTCTCTCACCTGTTGTTCTTCTTTTCGTAATGACGGTCGTAAACGTGATTCAGTGATTGTACAAATCTGATCTTGGCGACATTGTTTTGTAACGAGGCGATAATGATGATGATAACGTAATGCCTGACGAAAGCAAAGAGGAAAAAATATATTGTTCACGCTCGAATGATAAACGGAAACGCACGAGACTAAATATTAAATAACGAATGCGAAATCATGTTAAATTATCACGAAACTGAAATTATTACTGATTATGTAATATCCTCCAAGTATTTATGTAAAATTTCTCTTAACTGTGTACACATTTCTCGAAAGTCGTTCACACTTTTGCTCAGATGTAGTATCCAGTGTAGGTCATTTTTTTCTACGTAAAAAACAGTGGAACCATACTTAGCTGAGCTGTTTAATCGTCAATTGAATTATTATTGAATATAAATAATGACGGTCAGATATTTCGTACCGTTTCACATGTATGTAAATGATTTCCTCAAATCGTAGACTTTTCTTATTGCTCGCTGAACTTCTTGTACGACAGCTTGTTGTAATTATATACCTGACCAGTATCTATAACGAAACTGACTATTTTTCATTCGATCATTCTTGCATAGATCGGCTATCATTTTATATAGTTTATTATTCATTTTCGCTCTGATGTTATTTTTCACAAATAGTGTATGTAATCTCACGACACATATAAAATTAATCTCAAAAGTACACGTTTGCCTGACATACTTTAAATGTTTAAAAAAGGACATTTTGTGGGTACTAATAACTTCATGAACTGAAACTACTTCAGTTAGAACATTTGTTTAAAATCATTGTTTCAAATTCTGTTCAATTTCAAGAAAGCAATTGGTATACATAAAATATCTGCGAGAGTTTTAAACATTTAAAATTCGCTTGCTTTACGTAAACTTTTGACTGACTGTACATATTGATTAATATTTAGTTTCAGATAAATCGAAAGACATTGTACTGTCCAAGTAAGCATATAGGAACGTTCACAAATAAATAAATCGATCGGTCGCAGATTTATTATTTGAAATAAAAACGATATGACGGACATTATGATTAGTATATAATCGAAGTTTAAATAACGGAATAGTTTGAGTATTTTGAGTTTTCGCTGCAGCTTTTCATCACTGTGCATTCATTGTTGTAAATACGGTAGAAAATGATGTATGGTATATGCGAGAAAAAAGAAATTATTGTAGTACAATGAGAAATGTTTTTCTGTAAAGGTATACGCTTTAATATGAACTTTCTCTTGTGTTTGTACGCGTAGATCAGTGTCTCGTAATCTGTTTAATTTATACTTTATTTCCGTGACCTGATCAAAAAAGATTATATCGAAATTGCATTGGCAAGAATATATAATTTTCCTTTAGAGAATTATTTTTATATTCCGGAACACTGATCTAAACTATATAGAAGATACAATTATATTAAAGGTTTTATCATTGATTATTATTATTGTTTATTCGGATATCAATAATAATAAATAATGTTCATGTACATAATTTTGAAGAAAAAAATGAATAAAACATTAATAATGGTGCTTTCACAGACTTTTATATAATCTTATGCAATTCTCATTCATTCCCTTTTTTACTAAACTTAAAACTTCTTGTACATTTCACTGTAAATGTCTTTATATATTAAATATACATATATGTAATGACAATTAAAGGAATGCGAATAAAAACGTCACGATTAGATCGCGATGTAAATAACGAAAATTAAAACTACAAATAAGATTTCGTACTATAATAATGATAACGGTAACTTGTTTTCACTTGTGTCTCACTTTTTGATTACAAAATGTCGTAACATCGACTAGTAGTGATATAAAATATTAATATATATATATAAATTAGAGTTATCTCTATAAATAACGGTGTTCATTACACTTGTATCAGCTGCATAGAAAATGTATATACATATATTTTTATTGTCAGATGGCAAAATGTGATAAAGGAAGTTTTCGAATCTCGACATGTTTAAAAATACGTATCATTTTAAATTAGTTCCGATCCGAAGGTGGTCACTAATTCAGAATCACACGGAAAAAGCACCATTATAGTTTTGATCATAATTATCATATTTTACCATCTGACCACCGAAAAATTGTGAGTCTCACTATTCGGAAGTTAAAGTTTCTCTTACGACGTTTCTACGCCTCTGTCTAAGCCGAACCATCGATCTGGTACAGGTAAGAAATATCGATGCATCGCGGCTATGAAACGTGCCCGATATTCTTCCGGCGATATTATCGTTGGTAATTTTCCCTGGCCACCAAGTATACCCGATTTCTTCACCATCGTTTCTAGCTTTTTGTCCCATGTAAATGTTCTTATATAATCTGTAATCAAAGTAATTTCCGTATATCCGCGAGAGACAGGAGTTTTTATGTGGATCAAGGGGGCACATCTTTAATATGATGTATATCTTGAGAGCTTACCTATTATACCCAGAACAAGGACATCCGTATTCGGTTCTAAACCTACTAGTAGAGAGTAGTCCATCACGGAATTGTCAGCCAGAAATTTGGTGTCCTGTTCTATTGCTCTATTTAAAACCGCTTTAGAATGCGATCGAATATACAGCGGTGAATCGCAGCTCTCTAAAAATACATCTTACGTGTTTATTTGAGAAATTATTGGATACGAAAAATAACAATACTCGCGTGATACTTGCTGTTTAATAAATTCTCGTCCAGTAGTACGAGCTCACCCTCCTGACACGTATCGTCAGGATTTACAAGACGATTCCTGACCGATCCTTTCAAATCGAACTTTTCTGTAATCGTTCTCTTGTAGAACAAATTCTCCATCACCAGTACGCTGGTACGAAGCGCCGCGTTTGTTGTATTATTTTTAAAAGACACTCTATAAACACCGACTATCTTTCCCAGCAACGTTGGTTGTCTCGTTTGCTGGCATTTCTCCATGTAGGCAAAATAGTTTGGTGCGAATTCAAGGAATATTTGCATCTCTAGCCTAGACATTTCTTTTATAATAAATCTGTCGTCTGTAACACGTAATTCGTTGATTTATTATAGCACAGAAGAAAATTGGTCAGTTTGTTTTCATTCATAAATAACGTGTGATCGAACCTCGACTTTTACAGAAAGCACTTCCGCTTTTGCCACCTCTCGCTGCCCATTGCACGCTACGACTCAAACTCCTGGTGAAACCATCTTCACCGCATGGTAAAACGTTCTCCCGGAAGGCGGCAAACTGTGCCGCAAAATATATTCTGCAATAAAAGTTGGTCGTTGCATCGTTGAACTGTACTTCGATGTAATTCTGCTGCTTCGTCGTTTTCTTGTCTTCTTCCGCATCCGTAGTAGTAGTAGTTGAATTTTGAGCATTAGATTCCACGTTCGAGATAGTTTTATCAGAATCTATGGGACTCGCCGGATTTGGACTGTTCCCTCGGAAAAACGACAAAACCGATGGTCGTTTAAATTCCCCAGATTGCATTATGTCGGAAAAGTTCTCTTTGTTCTCCGGGAATTTACGTTTGATCAAAGGGCTGGGATTCAAGTCAGGCCCTTTCGTTGTGCGCAATAATTCATGCAGCGCATGCTTGTAATCGTGCGAATCTAATGCGTATGCGATTATGGAAGAAGGCTCTGATTCGTACACCACTATAGGTACAACTGACCTGCAGAAAGAATTATAATTCTCATTTTAAAATTGAATACATTCTATTTTACCATTTAATCATAGAGTTTCCTTAATACAATAATCAACGAACCCAAGAGGGAGTAAATGATGTTCTAAAGTTCCGAGGGGATTCGATATTGGTTGAGTTACAGGTACAGACGGTAACAATTGCGACAAGATCGTCTTTTTCTTTTTTTTCTTGTCCGGCATATCGTCGAAGGTAATAGGCAGGACATCGGAATGAGACCTCTGATGCATCTTTGGAGATCCTTGTACAACAACGATGTCGTCAGGATAGTTGCTCTCTAAAACTTCATTGTCAGAGTTTTCTACAACGTCTATTCCTTGCAAATCGTTCTGTGCAGTCGCGATGGCGTCGATAGCATTATAGTCCGCCGACATAGGACTCAAATCCTCTAACTGAGATTCCGACGCGGTATCCTCTGTAATGTATCCATCCGCATCGATTATGTTATTGCTTCCTGTGGTAAGTGATCGCTCAGTAAATCGCCTCGGTCTCTCATCCTTCTTCTTAACGGACATCTCCAAGATTTTGGTATTCCAAGTGAACACCACTTCCGATATCAATCGCTTAAGAATCACTATCCCGTCCTCGATTCTGAACATTAAAGCCTGAACTTGTTTCTCAGACACCTTTCCTTCGAGCTTCTTGTTCTCCAAAGTGGGCGATGTCAATTTCAATTGGATCTCTTCTATCTTGTTTTTAAAATACTGTTGATCTTTAGTCAACTGTTGTTTAACAGCAGTGAGAATGTCCATGTCTGTCTGTAGGGTGGTCAACTTCTCTCGGATGCAAGAGAATACCTCGTCTCCTTTCAAGGCTATGATCTTCATCTCTTCTATCACGTCCGCATGTTGTTTCGGGTCGTAAATTATGTTTATCACAGGCGGCGGTAACGAGATCTCCCACAATGAAATTTTCGTGTACTTAAATACAGTCAACATATTCTTCTTCGTGAAATATTGATAATGATCGTGGTGGAGTGAATGCGGACAGGTCTCCGTGCCTCGTCTAGTGTACGCGCTTCCATGAAACCTCAGTTCCAAATATTTGGCGAACGACAGGGACCAAGTGTCGTCCGACATCGGTACCACTGGTGAGACACTTTTACACTTCATACATTTGCTCCACATCAATATCTGATTCGCATTCTCTTGCGAAAATGGATCGGTGTTCATCTCGCTTAAGCTAATGTGTATACAACCGGCGTCGTGAGCGAATCTGCGAACGTGCTGAGCGATCTGCGCTCGACACGCTTGTGCAGGACACTTGTACTCAGATGTTAAACAGTAACGTTCCAGGAACCGTCCCAGCGCGATATCGTTTCTCCCGTAGAGATCCATATTCACTATCCAAGGGTTCACGCAGAATGCCGGGGTGTCGTTGCCAGTATGGGAAAAGCTACAGAATAACACAGACAATCGTTGATGACTAGCAGGGTCTAGACAATCGGGCCACACGAGCGGTTGATCGTTCATCTCCGATTGCATCAAGACTTGTTGCTTATCCGATAGAACGTTGTTCGTCGGGTACAATCGGCTTCCGCACGCTCTGAAATTGGCTAATAAAGCTTGCACCTCTTGGTTGTCGACGTCTGTGGTCAATTTCGCTTGCACGAACGGATGCTGCGGCTTCAATTCCAGCTTCATCAACGGATTCTTAAACACAGTTTGTTCCACGGGAATGTTGCTAGTTTTATTTTCTTTCACTTTGTCGATAAACTGCGCCGAATAAAATATCTCTCGTGGAAAAAAGCTACGCAATACGCAATTCCTCCCAGTCTCGGTTTCCAAGTAGGGCACAGAAAATTTTAAATAAGGCGAAACGCTTAATATAGTTCCCTCCAATGCTTTTTTAAATGTATTTAGTAATGGTAAATCGGCGACACTTAAATGTTGAGCGTTCGGACTAGTTTGACTGAAGACATCTTCGTCATCTTCATTTAAGTACTGATGGAGAGGATCGCTACGATCGCTAATGGATTCACCGTAGATACGTTTCTCCTCTGAAACAACCTTGTCTTTCACTTTTAACTTATCGGTTTCCTCTTTCATAGACTTAGTTACTTTCCCGCTATTTTTGCCTCCGAATAATTCCATTGTGCTGTTCGGATCTTCATTGCTATCTATATCAAGGCCAGAGCTATCATTGACAGTTTTGTCATAATCCCCTGAATTTTTTGTATCAATCATAGACTTTGATTTAGGTTTGAATAATTTTAAAGTATCGTAGGGATCAGCATCCTCGGACAGTATAGAAGATATTTGCTTAACGGAATCTGAACTCAGGACATTTTCAGTCTGATCCGAAACTATTTCTATACACTGCGTATCATTTGACGTATTTCCAGAATCGTCTTGAACTTTCGACACTTTCAACATTTCTGCATTGTCTATATATCCCTTGGTATGAGCCAATAACTCATCACTTCCGTCACTAACCTTGGCATGCAATATTTTATTAGTCGCTTGAGGTTCTTCAGGATCTTTGTTCAACGTTTCGTCCAAAAATGAATTATTCGGAGACGGCGGTCTCGCGAATTCGTCCATAAGAAACGACTTCTCAAGGCGCCAAGAATAAGCAGCGAAAATCATCGTTGAAGTGACATTCTTCACTTTCTTCAATTCAGCTTGGGAACCGCCACGTAACAAAATCGTAGCTCCGAGGTGCGGATTTGCGCATCCTTCAAAATACATCAACGTTTTGATACCATCTAAAAGGAAATAAAAGACATATGCTATGTAGACTCTATTTAGGTGAAACAGAGTTAAACAATTCGTGATTTTTAATTACTCACTCTTTTCGCACGAAAAATTTCGTAAATAGAATTTTTTACATGTACCAAGCATGTATCTCGCGCTTATATGAGCGTCAATAGTATTCACAATGTTAGCACCGGTGCATCGCGCGACTCTTTCAAGAACACTGAGTTTTACATTCAAAACGAGAGTCACTCCACATTCCCTAAGCCTGTCTTGCGCTAATCTCGATACAGAACGATGCACGAGTACAACATCTGGGCCAAGAGCGGTGATCCTAGCTACTGTATGCCCTAGATACTCATTTTCCTGTAAATGCAATAATAAAGGATGACAAATTATAATACAGACGTGCAATATTCGTACCTGCAGCATTACAGGCTCGAGGCTTAACAATTTTCCTTCCACGCGCTGGTACATAAGTCCACATTGGAGTAACAAGATTTTCGGGTGAGCTATCATCGCGTTCATCCCTCGGTGCGCGACGTTCTTTGTGCACACGACACCGGATACGATTTCGCAATCATCTCTGCCACCACCTGGACATTTTTTTATCTGTACGTACTGTCGAATATCCAAATCGTCGACATTATGATTTAAATCGGGTCTAACGTAATCGACGATCTGGTGGGCGATAGGAAGTATTACTTCTGACCAACTTTGAGATAAACCTTCCTTGTTCAGGAGTTGTTTAATCAGGGAATCTTCGTGCTGCTTATATGCAGATCTAAAATTACGTGAATTTAGGTAAAAATTATTAACAAATATGTATAACTTACGTTAAACATTCGTAGGCATAAAGTTCGCCGAACGCGGTTCGAAGATTCGTCGGCTTGTGCCAACCGTTCCTTTCTTTAAACTCTTGAACCTGCAGCGTGTCGTTTAAAAAATCATCGGCAATTTTCAGATTGCAGTTATGCGATTTTACTGTAACTTCTTTTTGTTCGATTACACCATCACTGCTATCGACAGAAATCGTAGTTAAATCTTCGGATGTCGGCCTTTTCAAAGTAACGGTGGACGCTTCTAAATTTAAATCTAAATAAAAACTCGAACTAGAAGATGGTAAACGTCCGGTTTGCTGCATTGAATTAGAGGGTTTCGTTTCGCTTTCTGAGTCTGTGAAAATATATATCACTCATATTAATAATTAATTTTTACATAATTAAACGTGTTACCTGTAGTTGAATCATGCTGCGGAATTGTTTTCACCCACGCAGGCTCTTGTGCATCGCAAGTGTTCTGAGTTTCAGTCAGCAAATCTAAACTTTGCATACGAGATAATTTCACCGGTTTAAATACTGTCGCCGTATCGCTGAATACATTATCAACAACCACCGATTCAATGAAACCTGCTTCCAATAATGCTTGTCCTATTGCGGTAGCCTGAACGCTGTAAGAGTTATGTTTCAATACTTATTTCTATTTTGCTAAATATTTTTTCAAACTCGTTCTATTTATACCGAGTAGCCGCTTTATTTTGTGCGATCATCCAATTTACTAATTCGTTAGCTAGGAAGCAGTTGTGATAGCTTTTCAGTCTGACTCGGTGCGTTTGTAGAAGAATGGCTTGACTCGATCTAAACAGTTCCTCGTAGATCATTCTCAATGATGCCGAGTTTTGAAGAGCTAAAGAACGTTCCTGAGATGTTAAATAACTAGTTGACCTGGTAAAGAAATTGACATAGAAATTTTCTATTTGACAAATCATTTAATTGCGATAAGAAAGGAAAGTACCTTCCAATAGCATATTTTTCCTCCATGTATCCCACACTAGGTTTCCTGCAGATTAAAGTTTCGTCTTCTACCGACTCACTTGCACATTTTTGACTTGTAGGCGGTGAATCATTTCCATATTTGACTTGTAGATCTTCTTGTAGTGCTTTCAAATCCGCTGACAAATCGCTCCTCATGTCCGATGATTGCAAATAAGACAAAACTACTTTGCAACAATATGTACAAACTCTAAGATCACCTATTCAAAAATTTTAATATTACATGTGAATGAATTAATATTTGTCTTTAGCGTTTAAATACCAGTGCATCCCATAATCTTTCCAGGAATTTGATCCGAGCAACATTTGGAACAGAATATTTGACCACAAACTCGACAATGGTGCCTTCTCCGAAACGTTGTGAATCTTTCGCCACATTCGTAACACTGTTTACTGACACTATCTGGCATCCAGTAACTCCTCAATTGAGAGTCCTTATACGAACGTAAATTCTATATTAAATTGATTGCATTATTATACTCAGTAAATGGTTAATACTGCTGAATATGGAATGTATAATACATTCAAATAACTCACATTACTCTTTAAGGCTACGATATTACTAATACGTTTTAGTACATTTGGTAAACTTCTGCCTTCACGAGTGTCCAATGGAAAATTCATAATACTCGAACTATCATCTTCGGGTGACTTTTCTGTACTTTCTGACTGTTTCCATGATTCGGAATCAGATGAACTTTGCTCCTCATTTGTAGAGGAAATTGTGGAATCATCAACATTTTGTGTACCTAAAAGAATTAACTACTTTAAGAATATTTGCAAATGAGATAAGTTAGGATTTATTTTATATTTTCTTTCAACGCATTAGAATTCGCAGTTGACAATTTGGTAGAAGTGGCTTACACAATTATAGCTTTCACCTTCTCATATGTAACTTGTAATAACATATAATGCTTTATAAAACAAATCAATGAACAAGAAATATCTCACCTCTGGTGAAGTTAAAAAATTTTGAAAAGAGGGAAGCGACGACAGGTTGGCTCTCTTCCGGACTTAACGGGGCGAACTCCGTAAGTTTAGACGGTGAATTCATGTTCTTATTCATTTTATCTGATGCTATCTTTTCGCGGACATTTTTAACGTACAGCTTTTACGAGACAACGTCCACTCCGTCCGCTCACATCTGAATCATGCACACGCGATTACAATATTTTGACAGATATGTCAGAAGTCAGAAGCAGCGTTGGGCACCCCGTAAGACTTTTTGTAACTAGGCGTCTAAAAGCCATGCGTTAATGATGTCACAGCTAGAGATATCATGTGACCGCAATCCCGTATAATGTTTAACTTTCAACGGAATTGGGCGCTAAAAGGGATCTGTATGACGCACGTAAATTAATTTAAATTCAGTTATATAATAATTCTGATTAATAAATTAATAGAAACACATCTCAGAATTTTTATTTCGCGATCCTTGACCAAATGACTAAACCTGAATGTCTTTCAAGATCTGAATTAATGTACGTGCTAATGATCGCTAAGATGAATTAAGAAAACATTTAAAGGACATAATCCTGCACATAGAATAGTAATTTGCTTTCTATTTTTGACTTAGGTAGCAATACACTCCAGAGAGTGTAAAAAATTGCACTTTTTCATACGATGCTAAATCTCATAAAGCTGCCACTCTCTAGTAATCTCTCCTCGGTAAATAAAGTATTGTTTGGTATATTGTATTTTATTATTTCAGGCGATTCCTTTAAGGATGTACTGGCTATACAGTCAATCCCAAAAGTTTATGTACCTTAGAAAAACGCATTTCCTATTATTAAAAAGAAATCANGTAATAGGAATCTATGATAACAAATTCAACATGCTAGCATTGTTTAAGTATATAGTCCATACATCCTTAATATCCCAGTTTTTCAAGAATATTATGAAACTCAAATATGTTGTTTAAACTATATAAGAGAGAACACCGTAAATTTTTTTCAAAATCTCTCGCTCTTAAGTGATGATACGAATCTAAATAATTGTGCAGTATGTATTACATAAGAATCTAACTAATTGTAACTGCATAAATGTATTACAAAAGTTTTGATTGATGAAAGATTGGGAAAAAATCTTTCTTTTTATGCAAATGAAAGACAGCATGTGTATTGTAGATAAACTGTATTTCTCTCTTTTTACGGTTTTGTCTACATTCTCGATAGGAAAGCTGCCTCCAGTGATATATGCTCTAAGGAATGAATAAACAGCGATCGCCGATCGCATATAAAACTAATGAAAATCCTGTACACATTTGCATACTGAAATTAGTGAAATCTGTATAATAATGTATTTACCTTTAATTGTTTAATCGTGTTTTGGTGACTATGTCGTTCAGTTCTAGAGTTGTCTAAAATCTGGACTCGCATCTTGACGTAACTCTTGACTCATACTAAAGAAACGTTACGAACGACAACGCGGTACTCTGCGTAGTTTCTGAAATATAGCATATCTCTGAGTAGGCCAACTAAACCAGAATAACCATATCACGTTTTGCTATCTGGCCACTGGAATGTTACCCCCTGGTGCCAATGCTACCCCCAGTTTACAGAGCGGTCTTCTTTACACCATCTAGCGTCAACCACTTTCCAGTCCGCAGCTGCGCAGGTGTATCACCTCTCCGGCACCTCTCTCATTAACATCTTACCCGAAAAGCCAGTCACGCCAGCGGGAGGATCTGGTGCGGTCGAGTCATCTTATCGATTTCGTTCTACTGATACGGCCGACACAGGACTGATAACAACGTTCCCGATCGGAAACGATCAGTCCGGAGTGATAGATCCGTGGATCGGAAGCTGCTCGGACAAAAGGATGCAATGGGCGAGAGCAGAAGCGGCCGTTCAGGGAAAAGGTAAAACGTTTCCACGACACTTCCGGTGTCCACGTCCACTCACCAGGGCAGGAAATGGATTGCGGGCTATCGAACTCTCCAGGTTTAACGAACCGCTTAAGGAAACTGTTAACCGGCTATTTATAGAACTGTTCTCTTCGCTTTCGTTCAAATAAACTAATGACAACATAATGATACTTTACACGAGTAAAAATTAATCTTGCTTTTATTATTTCATCAAGCATTTCGGACGGAACTTATAGACTGCGGATTTAATGCACTTATAGCAAAATTTCAAGTGAAGAAAATATAAAATTTTATATACGCACAAGGAAGAAATCTTAATTTACATTTCATTCTGTCAATTGAGATCACAAATGTCATATTTCTATTAATAAGTTCAACATTGAATTGAAATATTTTTTAGTAACAATAGATTCGAATGATAGATACGAACATTGAAGATCGACGAAGCTGATATTACGATGTAAATTTATGATTGGTAGACTCGTGCTTTTATGAAGATCGAAACTTCTGTCACGAAAGGAAAATAAATTTGAAATGATATCTAAAATTAGAGAAGCCGAATAAGAAGGGTGTGCTTGGCACAGATATCGTAAAGTACTCTGTACACATAATTACGATAATGTTACTGTCTTTCGAATTACGTACTTTTAGGTATTACAGAATAACTGATCAATCAAATTACATTAGAATGGATCAAGAATATAGAATGATTGATGAATGAACGAATACTGACAACGATCTTCGAACGGAGGTTTAATTTCCTGTCCCTCCTGAAAGCTTCACACTTCGGTTATTCATCACCTAAATCAGGCGATGTCCAATTCGGCCTTCCCATCGATAAATACACATTTAATTCCCGAAAGATTATACTGCATCCACAAAATGTTATAGTCCTTATTGTGATTCAAAATACAGTAGTCCTATTTTTACATTATAATTCATGTCTATCGTTTAATCCAGGGCTTCTTAAACTATGGGTCGCGACCCCAAATGGGGTCGCGTAGCAAAATTTTGACGACTGTAATGGTAACTCGCAATCATAAATGGGGTCGTGAATGACAAAAGTTTAAGAAGCCCTGGTTTAATCATATTCATATAAAAGCCGTGTTACTTATAACTAGACTTTGGATGTTTAGTTTGCGCAAAATAAACCATTTATAGCATCAGTCTAAAATATAAATTTTATATAAACATTTGTTTGGTCATTTAAATATTTAAATGTCCATTCAGTTTTTCATATTCTGAATTATTTTATACCTTGCACGCAGCATTTGTCATTTCTGCACATTCCATTTTCTTATAATTGCATAAAATCCGCAGTCTACTTACAAAATCTGATCAGCGTTTTTTTGTACCGCCTATCATATTTACATTTATAATGAGCCAAAGTAAATGAATCTGAATCAAAAGGCGCTGTAGAGCACGTGTCCTCCTTATTCTTTAAAGTAGTATTCGCGTGCAAACATCGCTGGTAAAATGCAATCGTAGATCGGGATCACATGAACCCGCAAAATTACTGACCAAACCCTAAGCTACGGACTGCGTGTACGTACGTCAATGTGGTTCGGACATTTATTTATCCGCGTATGCAAAATTCGTCGTCACCGGGTTACACCGAGGGAAAATTGGGGCCACAGGGTCGCTGGCAATAATTCGGGGAGGGTTGGTGGTGGTCTCGTATAAGAACGACGGCTCGTGATTTTATTCGCCACGCGCTCTTTAATGCTCAGAGAAAAAGAGTGAATCTGATTCAATCGCGATTATGAGACGCCTTCGTTCTAATTTTAATGATGTACCAGAATAAAAAGTATCCTTTTATTGCACGATTAATCAGAGTTTTGATAGTTCTCAACCTTCTCATATTTAACTGGAATTCAAATGCAGTTGGTTGATTAATTTCAGTTTGTCCTTACGCAACACGCCATACCAATTGAATAGCTTTCGCTATACTATAAATTGTGAATATGAATGAACAATATAAGGAACTGTACATAATATGTTTCACAATATTAATGGATAATTGATTAACTGAGACTGGGTTTGCTATTTAAAATTTGGAAATACTCCAAAACCGTATCAATAATGTGCAGAATACTCGGTATTGGGGTCAATTTTAGAAAGTAGCGTAATTGTCTGCCAATCACGATGAAACGTTGGTCAGTTACACTCAATTCCTTATCTTATAGGTCAAGCTGTGATATCGATTGCTCAACGAACAATTCTATTTTTTGCATTCAATTACGAAAATGTAAAAGGTTCAATAATTCAATCGGGATCGTATCATCGGACTGCCTCAGAGATTACACGAAACTATGTAGACATGAAATTATGTTGTGATATACTGATTAAAAGAAATGAGGACTCTTTTAAAAAATATAGTTTTTACAAATAGGAAGCGATGCTCTGTTGAAAATTTGGAAGCTGTTCATGTCAATACCGATTAGACGATCGAACAATATGATAGCACAATAGGTAAACGTTTCCGTGCACGTGAACCATTAGGTAAGCCTGTAGCGAAATTTCTTTCTCAGGCTCCTCTTCGTAGATCGATGCGTCGCGTCTAGAACGCCTCGCACTGCGAAGGCATGCAGCTCTTCGTACCACCCTCTTCCTGTTCCTAGTTCAACCCCCTTCGCTCCGTCACCACCGCATTCAACCCATCCTCCCACAGCTTCAGTTTCCTCGCTGAAACATTTCAGTCCGTTCCGGGCATCCACCCGGCTCGGTGCTCGAATCATCTGAAGTTTTACACCCTTACCACCGGACTTCGCAAAAAACACGTGATAATTGACCCTTAATTAAATTACTTTAATAGTAGTTTACTCTCTTGCCTTGAATAGTATTAATTTGAGTTGATTCTTAATTGGATAGATAGAACTGATTTCCTAACTGAACTGGCCTCGTGATAGATATTAAAATAATTGTAAAAATGTGCTGATCACACCAAAAAGTATTTCATCAAAACTAATCAGAGGTATTGAAGATTTAATAGTGGATTGCTGCTTGGAATCTTAAGGAGAAACTATTAGAAGAGAGTGTGTTTGTTCAATGATAAAATTGTTCAATGATTAACCCCGTTTCTCCATGAATGAAACCTATAAATAAATACGCGTGTCTCCTTTAAAGTAGATAAAAGACGGATGATCAATTGCTGAAAAACCGATAACATCAACTAGGCGTGGTATAACACGCACCAGGACGTAACTTAACAATACGATAAGGGTAGCTGATATTTCATTAGCTTAAAAGATAAAAGAAAGTGGTTGTTTTTATGAACTGTGATTAACATCTTGTTTCTTGCTAACTTATAATTAAACCTACTGCTTTCAATTTCGGTTTTACTACCATTACTTACCATTTTATTCATCTCAATCTTTGTAAAATTTGCAACTTTAAAGGATTGAATACTAAAAAGAGGAGTAAAATATTGTTGATTGCATTTTGATATTTGAAGATTACATTTTGATAGTTGAGGAAGTATCTATTAGAATTGTGTACGCAGGCAAAGGTCCTCCCGCAGGGTCAATAAATCCTCTTCGGACACCGAGCTAGCGCAGAGTAGAAGGAAGAGCCGGAAAAAGAAATCGAAAGAAAAATGGCCCTTAGTGGAAGGGTTGACAGTAGATGAATTGGCGCGTTATCGAAGAAGGCGCGTACATGGCCAGCCAGACAATCTTCGACTTCACCCTGAAGCCGACAACGAAGATCTCGTCTCTGAATATCGTGAAGCTTTTCGCGCGAGAAGTGAGGAATTTTTGAAGGTTGGTGACCGGAATTAAAAAAAATTCTTAAGAGCAATAAAAAAGAAAGGAATTTATCAAATTGATGATACTTCCTCCAATCCTAAATTTATTAAGCAATAATTTTCCGATTCATAGATGTACCCCTTACCGTAGGAAAGTACCTGGTTGGATAAACGATCTGAGGAAATTCAAGAGGAAGATTCGATTAAAAAAGAACCGGAAGGTAAACGGGAAGAAGGACAAACAGAGCTTCCAGTCGCAGATAAAAAGGCTTCTCCAAGTCGAATAGATGACGATAGAACGATGGAAACTGAAAATGCGAAAGTCACAGACCACACCGATCTCCCTAAACGACCTCCCTTAAATAGACGGTAAAATGAAATTATTGTCAATCAATTTTATAAAGTCATCTTTAGACTGCGGATTTTTTAATGCATTTTTAAAAAAATTTGATGTGTAGAAAATAAAATGGATTTAATATGCAAGAATTAGCAATGTATATATGAATAAATACTAATTACTGTTTTTGAAAGGTAAAACAAATCTCAATTTACATTTCATTATTTAAAGTATTATCAGAGAAATTTTATTTCGCATAAAAGCCTGCAGCCTAGTCATCATTTTTGTTTAATATGTATCAAACTGTTATGGTCAAACAGAGGCAAAACTTTGAAACGTGACGGTGATCTGTACCCGGAATCCGAAACGTATTCATCGTACGTGGCATACGAGGGTCAGCACAGGCCAGAGTTGGCTCGCAGGGCCACGGCTTTGAAAATGGAAGGCGATTTCGAAACAAGCACTGAACAATGTGAGAAATTCATTCAGTGGTTGAACGTTACCCGGCCGGAACTTATGCGCGTGCCGACGAACTTGAAGCTCGAGGGTGAATTCGAGACTAGCACGGAAAATCACGAGAACTATGTACCGTTCGTAGGGGTACGAAGACCAGAATTACTCAGGCAGAATACTCATTTGAAATTAGAAGGGAAGTCTAACTTCGTGCCGGAATACGCTGACGTCTTCAAAAAACACAATAATAAAGGTACAATTTTTAGGTAAGCACTGTTGTTATGGCAAACATTCTTCAACGATCTTCTCATACTGTAGAACGTCCACAGCCAGTAAAACCAAACGCTCGTCTAAAGACTGGAAAATCCTTTTTCCAAAGCACCGAAAACGCTGATAGCTTCATCGATTCTCGGGAAACACAGCTAATGAGTGAATTGAATAAACATATTGAAGAGGAGGAGAAAGCATTGAAACAGAAACAAAGTAGAGACGAGGAAATGAAAGAGTTGATCTCAAGGTTGGAAGATCTGAAATATCCACCGCTTGAAATTCCGGAATACAAAGATGCATACAAGGTAAGTTTGATTGTCTGATATAGATATTAACTGATAGTAATGAAAAACTTTTGTAGAATTTCCCAAGAGAAAGACCTACAATAGTGAAGCCTGAAGACGAAATTGGTCGAGCAGATGGCTCGAAAATACCTTCGTCGCCTACATCAAAGTTTCCAACAAAAATTGATCAAGATCCAGAATATAAATCGAAATACTTAGATCATCAAAAAGATCCTCCTGTCTACCGCAAACCACCTCTAGCTTTGAGATCAACGGTCGCTCCTTTGGAACATAGTTCAAGGTTTGGTAGACAAGATTGCAAACGCCGTGACGAATTTACCAGCGAAGTACGAGCCCAATATGTTCCTTATGGCCGTATACCGAGAGTTGAAACTTTAAAAATGCCAGCTAACTTACGTCTGGAAGGTAATCTCGATCTGGAACCCGAATACAGAATGGCTTATTGCACCAGACGTGACAGTCAATTGCAAACCGGAGCGAGAATGCATCGTGGACGAGATCGTAGCCTAAGTGGTTCCAGGCGGAAAGAAAATTATTGGTTGAACAATAACGCAGAGCAATTCGGTTTCATGAATGCAGCAGAAGAGCAAGACGCGTTTCAAGTGTTAAACACTCGGGTACACGAAGACAACGTGTGCGAACGACCACCGTCAAGTAGTCGAAGGTTTCTATTCAAAAGTATAACATTTATATTTTATACTTTCTTGTCTTGACGACTAAAATAAAATTGTTGTGATACAGATGTTCAAAATCTTCACAAACGCAATTAAGTACAACGGAATGTAATAAGTTGGACAGATCGACCAGCCCGACTTATCGGCTTCACGTTTGCAACGTAGACGACGAACCCAGAGGTTTCCGGCGTAAACGTTCGCCGTCACTACAGTCTTCCGAAAGGACACACAATCCTCCGACGGATCGCATACTTCAAACCGATCCCATCAGACCGTACTCTCCCAGTTTTGGTAAAACCCCGAAACAACACGCGAATGGTCAATCATTCGTTGTTCTAGATAATGCTGTCTTCGATGCGAATAAGAACGAGATTCGCAGACGGCGAACGACGGATCGCAATTACAATATCGATGGCACAATTTCGAGGAGAAGAACAAAAACGCCGGCGAATTGGATGCCCCCGTGGTACGATAATACAACTACCATTTAATAAACATTTTCAAAACTGAGGGCCTTTGTACTTTTTAATACTGACCCGCAATAAAGTTTCTGAATAAATATCTATCACATTCCTACGTTTATTAATAATCCATTCTTCCAAAATCATACAATGTATGTATACATTACATAATTTGACAATGTAACATTCAATAATAGACTTCATTCGTAATGCGGAAAGATTGAGGAAGTAAGACAGTTTATATATCTAGGATATAAAGTACAGAGGAACGAAAATCAGAGAGGAGCAAGCGAGGAAAAGAGAAAGAAAGACCGCATGGGCGATGAGAAATTCGATGTAAACCGTTACGTTAAGGAAACAGTAAAGGCAAGGCATTATATACTAACTTTATTCGTAATCATTTATGAAGGTTAGGTTACTCATTTGACATAATATAGTAATAATAAAAAAATGCTTCGTACAACTTACTGTTTCATGTAATGTACTCAACTACCACGTACCATAAATTCTTACAAATCACGTTTAACAAATGTCGTAATAAATAAAATGATCAAACTCACATCATATTGTTGAAAACCTGGTGTAGATCAGTGTAGATAACACATTTGAAACAAACATGTTCAACTAACTTCATGCGTCCTATCGCGAGACGTGCGAGACTACACTCTAATTATAATTGCAATATGAACAGGAGCTATATTCGCATCAGTGTATTTTAGAAAAGTAGCAAAAGTAGTTGGAAGCGTTGGAAGTTGGAACTGTTGGAGGTAAACTTCACTGTCCGTTAGCGAAATATATTAATAATTAGAAAACATGTCAGATCCGGAGCTTGAAGCAATACGCAAGCAACGATTAGCTCAACTGCAGTCACAGTACAAGGTGAATTTAATTAATATTTCACTTCTCTTAAAGATTCTATTACACTTCTGTAATATATCATTACTTTTGACAAGTGCACTCTACGTAATATTTAATAAAAATGTGAATGACAATTAAAAAATAAAACACTTAATAATATCTCATTTAATTATGAGAAATTAAATTTGTATTGTGATGTTCAAATTTGGTCATCGATCTATTTATAACATAAATGAAATGTTACTTGGTATAATCACTAGGCTATGGATTTTGTTCAATTATATGAAAATTCAATCTGCAGAAATAAAAATTGCCACAAATATGATAATTGAAAATATCTAAAACTGAATGGATTTTAATGTTTAAATGATCAAATAAATGTTTATCTAAAACATATCCTTTAAAGTAATGCAACAAATGTTTTGTTGCGCATAAAGATCAACAGTCTACTGATCACGTATTATTATCTTTGTACATTTTACTTATTACATTCTGTTGTACTTATAATTAGCCTAACAATGCAGAGGACAAACAGGCAATGGAAGAAAAGATGCAACAAATGCAGGAAATGCGCAACTCTGTGCTTAGTCAAGTGTTGGATCAGTCGGCCAGAGCCAGATGTAAGAATCCTAATGCGATTATGGACCATTTTTACCTAGCTCTGATTAATTTGATCTGTGATTAAACAAAGCCAACAGAAGAAGACACGCTATTTCTAAATATGTGTATATTTAAGAGTGTGGTCTAATTTGGAAATTATTGAATTAGTAGTTATCAATCACATGTTAAATTGTATTACATACATTCCAATTGACCTTTGCTTTAAGAAAAATGCAACAATTGAAGTTTTGTTATTGGCTATGCTTAATCGTTTATCAAATTAATTGGAGTTTAGTGAAAATAACTCCAAGTTTTATCCATAGATGCATAGTTGTCTAATGTATGATTTTCGTATAGTAAATACATTATCCCTTGGAAAGCCTGAAAAAGGAAAGATGGTAGAAAATATGATATTAAGTATGGCCCAACGAGGTCAGCTACCTGGTAAACTAGGAGAAAAAGAACTCATCAGTTTATTGGAGAGTATAAATCAACAAACTCAGAAAGAAACTGTCGTTAAGGTTAGTGAGAAGGTATTAGATGGATGATCCTTTAAAGGGATAATACACTAGAGCTAATTCATTTACAGTTTGACAGACGAAGAGCAGCACTTGATTCCGATAATGACGATGATTTATAGCATATTTGTACATGGTTTGCCAGAAGAACAGCATTACATCTTCTGTTTCTTAAGATTACACTGACGTACGCTTAATTAATTATACACGTTTATTTTCTATGATATATTGAAATAAAAAATAAAATATAAATTATTCAAGAGTCAG